AGCCCTAACAAAGTAAGAAGAATCCACCCTAAAAAGAAAAGGTACAATAAAAGGAAGATCAAAGCCCGGTTCAAGGTTGAAAGTCATGTCTGCAATTGACGGGTGATCACTCACCAAACCTGAAGGCAGCATGACACAGCAAGACCTATAGACTCTGGATTCAAACTAAAGCCTACAAAAAGGATGGGTGAGAAGGAAAACTTTGGAGGAGGGTAACTTTCTGCTGCCAACATGGAAGGGCATCGGTGCATGCCCAACAGAGACCCAGCTCGTCCTTGTGCCCGGCTTTCCTGGCCAGTTAGCCGCCACAAGCTACGAACCCAAGCTGCAGACTCAAGCCACAGACTCAAGCAGGACTGGTAACTATGCAGCAGCTGCTGAACATCTGATGGATGTGTGTGTGTGTGAATGTGTGTGTGTGTATAGGTATTAGGTATAATGTGTGTGTATAAGGATTAAGATATTAGTTATTGGTCATAAATCAAATTATCATAATAAATGTGGCATCTTTATCTTGTCCCCTTTAATAAGATCCTGCTAGCTTTTATTGGTATAACACCTCTCCTGCACCTTTTTTGTGCAGAGATCTGGTGTCAGCAGCCCCACAGCTGCACAAGGAGCCCTCTACAGCCCTGTAGTCAAGGATCCACTCACTCACTAACTAGGAGTGAGGGGGCCCTCCCCAGGCTGGAGCCATTCAACAGTGGTGTAGCCTCCCCTGTGGACATGGGCTCCTCCTCCTCACAGTCCTGGCTGGGAGTCTCTGCTCTGCCCCACTAGGATGGCAGTTTTCCCTGCACCTGGTGCCTGCAGTGATACAGTGTCATTGGACCTGCAGCAATGCAGTGAGCCTGCTGCAGCCCCTGCTCACTCACTCTCTGCCCAGGAGTGTGGAAAGGCAGCCCCCAGGCTGGAGCTGTTCAGCAGTGGGGTGATCTCCCTCACAACACAGGGCTTGTCCTCCTCGTTGTGGTCCCAACAGGATCAGGACCATGCGGTTGGCCATGAGGCCAACCAAGGATCAATCAGAGGAAATAAACAATCATGTGGCAAAGGCCTACAGTAGCCACCAAGCAGATCTTATTAATTAACACAACAGTGCAAATTTCAGGAAAAGCATGAATGCAATTACATTTGTTGTTGGGGCTTAAATATGTGTGTACAATAAGGACGAGCAAGTTTGTTGTTTTATGTCTGTAATGGGTCACACACAAAAAAACCCTAGAAGAACACTGCAGTGAATATCCTAACACCAAACTCAAACTGGTGAAGATATCTGGAAAGGGATATGAGGACATTTTACTCTGTCAAGTTTGTAAAACAGAAATCTCTGAAAAGTTAAATTGTATTGCTGAACATCTGAACTGTATGTCTCATTTGAAATTAAAAGAAAGTCAAGCAATGATAGGCCAGGCTTCAATAGAAGTGTGTTTGGGAAGATTGAGACAAAATATGGAAGAAGTTACAGATTTTCTACATGATCTCGTATGTGCATTGTGCTTGGAGGCAATTCCAAGGAATGCTGTCCATGGTTCCAGCTTTATATTATACAAAGTATGCACAAGTATGTACCAGCATGCACTCACCCAGTACATCATCCGCTGGAAGAAAAACACCTGCCCAAAGTTTTCACTCACCAACAAGCTGTAAATAAGGATCTTTTGAGTGGTGAGAAATTGTCTTTAGACACTGATGAAACCACAGAGCTTTTGGGATGGCCAGCAATGAACGTCCTTGCAGTATACTTCAGTGACAAAAACATGCAATGTGGAGGTAATTTCAATTAGGATTCAAGATGTGTTGCAAGACTACAGCCAAATGTGGGAAATCTGTATGTCACTCAACAGTGACTCCCCAATGTACATCCAGCTCTCAGTAAAGGACTTGAAAGAAATGTATCCTTATCTGCTGCACATTCCATGTATTGCTCATCTTTTGCATACAGCCATTAAGCATGCAATCTAAACTGATTTGTTCCAAAATGTCAACAAATCTGTAGTACAGTTTCCAGCGATATTTAAACATGCTAACAGGCAAAGGCAAGTGGTTTTTTAAAGTCTGTACAAGCAACAGCATGAGCCCATCAGGTTTGCCTGTTTCCCCTCATGTTGTACCATCATGCTGGTTTGCCTGGCTTGAGGGAGCAAAATGTATTTATATACATTGGGACAGTGTGACAAACTCATTAAAGAAGAAGATGCAATCATCGCAAAGAAGGCAATGAAACTATGCTGGATGGCTGAAGATGATAGAAACCAGCAAGAACTGTATTGCAAATTCTTTTTCTTTATGTATTTTTGGGAAAAAGCCACAGGGTTCATTTGCAAATGGAAACAAATGTACCCTGGTTACATCACATTGATACCCTGCTTTACGGCAATTTCAAAGTTGCTGCTGTTGTATGTAATGCCTTAAAAGAAGTGAACTTTGAGTCAATGAGACCCAAAAGGAAATTCTTTTAATCTGCAATGCATGCTTTTGCATCAGAATTTCAAAATAAACTGAAGGCAACCATAGCCTGCCACCTACCAGATGGACTCTCTGGATTAAGATCTCTTCTTGCCAACTGTAAAGTGTTTGATCCGTTTGTCAAGGCTGAGATGTCATACAATTTTAGCAACTACAAAAATATTATGTATATTTTCCATTGTAAGGCAGAAGAGTTCAACCACAATTTTGACTTGTACATGGCACGTGAAGTGCCCTGGGATGACAGCATAACAGCAATTGAATACCGAAGAAGTGAAACCCAGTCCCTGCCTGTCATGCCCAGCGTAGCATTACATGCACTAGCAGCATCAGTAACTTAAGTGTCCATGGTAAGATTGTCCAGTCTGTTCAGAAAAGTTCAAAATAAACACTTCCATGAATCTCTCTGAAGACCAGCTCAATGTTTTTTTACTACAATGATGACATGAGTTGAAATTTGTAAAGCTTTCAAAAATCTGGTATCATCTGCTGACTCTAGCAAAAGACATAATAGGCATTCTAGTGCCTTTAACAAATGGCCCATACTTAATTTATTTTTTGTTCAAACCACCTAACTGTGGGAACAGAAGACTATGGGCAAAGTTCTGTGATTTAGACTTCTGAATTAGTCTTGTTACAAAAATAAAGCTTTAACTCTTTGAATCTCAACATCTACTGTCATTAAATAATATCTGACTCTCCGTTAATTTCCCACAGCTGTGAAAATTCAAATAGATAATAGAAAAAATGCTTTAAAATGGGTATAATCTATCAAAATTCAGAAAAAAAAAAAAAATTGAATTCTGCCAAGCCTACTCATGAATGAGCTTACAATCTCTGTCCTGCTTCCCTGTCCTAGGTCCAGTTTCTTTTCTCTACTGAAACTACAGAACCTGTGGAAGTTAGTGGAGTACTACAAGTGAAGTACCTTTTGTACACAGCCCCATTTATTTCTGCTGCTCAAATCATTGTGAGTTGGTAGACCAAAAATGTTTGGAATACATAATAGGGCCTGTCAATTATACAAAAGAAGCCATCACAGAGTTAGGAATGAAGGATTCTCCCATCACTGGTTGCTGGACAGGGGCAATATGTCCCTCTGATCCATCATCGCTGTTTGTTTATGGGGAGAGTGCATGTGCACAAAAGGAGAAGGAAAATCTTCATCCCAATAGGACCAGTCTCTTAGTTCTGTCTGAATGTGGAGATGTTGCTGTCTGCCTGTATGACCCCTTGTAACATTTCTAGGGAATAACCATCTGCTTGAGATAGGACCTAAAGAGCCACACTGAGTATGCCTCAGCCATCCCCTTTGCTTTTGATGGGGTTATTCCTTATTTATACTGATGTGAGTGGAATCAGGCCCGGAGGCTCCACCCCAGAGAAGAGGGCAGGTTGCGAGAGGGAATTTCATAAGGCGGCACTCAGCATTACGTAGCTATTTCCCAAGAGAAGTGTCTCTTCTGAACATGGCAGAGATGCTGCAATTACAAAGGCTGGGAAACTTATGAAAGGCCAGCAGCAATGGAGGCAAATTTGGGGTTTGTTATACCAAACGAATAAAAGGATTGTCCTGGATTATATAAGGCTGTCACACTCCAACTGGGATCCCAGCTGCACTCAAATTAATTATACTTAACACTCTATTCAAAAACAGGCTTACAGCAGTCAAAACAATGAATAAAAACTATTCTTTCAAAATTAAAAGTGTGCAGTGTGTTTATCACTGTGCATAACATAGCAGAGCTTTATTATACTCAGATATTTAGACATTTGCCTTATGCACCTCCTATCTTGGTGTTTCTTCTACTTGCAAAACAAAACTGAAATTAGATGAAACTGAAAGCAGATTCTTGCACAGTTCATAACCTGAATATTGGAAATGGAACATAAATCCCAAATCTTCCTGTGTAAAGTGTACATAACTTCAATTCTAAAGGAGTCCCAGTCTTCTGACTGGAGAGAATGGAAAGGTCTATCGCTGGGGATGGGGGCAAGATGTGGGAAGCAAGGAGCACATCAGGTTTTAAGTGCAAGAGGAAAGTCTAGTGAAATCTAGTGTTAAACATCTTTTATTAGTTTGTTACTTTACCTATCATGGATTTTTAGAAAAACTTGCATATAGTATTTGCAAGACAGATTAATAGCATGACAATCTGATGTTGGACACTACAAAGCTTTATGAAATTTGGCAGTAAAAGTTACTTTACAATAGCCAACTTGTTTTTAAAAATCCAATTTAACCTAAAAAGTCAAATGCTATTACGAACTATCTACATTGCAAGTGCATTTTAAAATAGTTTAATTAATTTATTTGAAAAATTGAAAGATATTTTTTAATTTGCAGTCTAGCCTAAAACCTTGCATTCCACCCACAATGAGTTTTTAAAGCAGATTTATAATCCTTTGAGAATAGTGGTTTACAAAGAAATTGTTCAGTAGTTCAGTCACAAAACAACACAGTAGCACATCTCCAGAAGAAAATCTGTAATTAAAAATATCTATTTAAAAAAGACCTACTCATCCAAATGTTACAAAAAATAGTTTATTGAAACTGGTTTCAAAAGGTCTCTTGCCTGTACAAAAAAACAAACATAATGGATTTCATGGAACAAATATCAAATGATAATGACTTCATTTCATTCAACCACTCTTGGCTGAGGAAAGGCACATGTATGAACCAACTGCTGAAAGTTACTTACCCTTTACTAGCTGCTCATAGAATTGGGGCTCAATGGCACCAACTGCCATGAATTTCCCATCTAGGGTCTTGTAGGTCTCATAAAAAGGTGCTCCGCTGTCCAGCAAGTTCTCCCCCCGAAGTCTATTCCAAAGGCCTAAATTTTGTGATTTCCACAGGAAAGAACTTAGATATGCTGCTCCTTCTACCTTAAAGATTTATTTAAAAACAAAATAAAACAAAAAAAATGTAGAGTTACTAGTGAAATCGCTGGCAATTCCACACAAACAAGTATTCATAAATTTACAATTAAGGTTAGGATTTTGAATTGTAATATTCTCATAAGAGCAAACTTGCCTTTAAAATAATGTGTGTGATTTTTTTAAGTTTAAATGGAGTAATAAGGAGCCCTGAAAGATAAGAAGACATATTAATATACTGAACAGATGAAGTTTCTTATTTTATCAAGCTCCTAGTGGTTCAAATAGCAAAGAAATGAGTTGTAAGGTAACAGGCCAAGCTCAGTGGCTCTACAGGACAGTGAGTGCCGCAGCACTTAACTGGCTGAGATAAGACTGCTTGCAGAAAATGAGAAGGAAGTCAAAAGAGAAACACCTCTCTCTAGTTCTCAGTACCCAGAAAACTGAGATGCACATAGAGATCACTGTGTTAACCTGACTATTCTCCCACAGCTCTCTCTAATCTGTGGAGCTCCCTGTTCTCACCAGCGAGCACACTTTAGGAACCCTACAGGGTAGCAGAGATGGTGAGGGTGTTGACATATTGGTGTAGAGCTCGGAGCACTGATTACAGGAAACCAAAAGGTATGTTTGGCTTTGAGCAAATTAAACTTATGTAAGAGGTATCCTAAAAGAAATGGAAAGGTATCAAGGGAATTGTTAGGAGTATGCCCTGTACCTTTAAGAGCAGAACACATGATAGAGGAACTGGGATAGAGAAAACCCAAGCAGTCTGAAGTCAGGTTCAACAGGTATGTAGCTAGGAGCACATGGGTCTCCTTTGTCTTACGTAATTCTGTTTTAGTTCTAGTAAAGCCTTACTTCTAAGAGTCTAGACTATACCTTCTTCTTACAAATCAACAAACAACACATGGTATCAGAGTGAGGTAGAAGAAAGGACAAAGAAGAGAGGACTGTGGTGAAGGAGTCACCTCGGAGATAAACAAACTAAAAATCCCCAAAGAATTGAAACTCTCAGGTAATGCAGCAGACTCCGGTTGAGATTCAAACAGAGATTATATATATGCATGCATGCAAGCAAGCAGCTAGCTTTGGTGGGAAAGAAAACCAGCAGAAAATAGCAATCTTCTTAAACACTGCAGGACCTGAGGCACAGGAGTTGAAGGCATGCATTAGATCAGGCCAAGAGAGTGAGTTATGGCCCAACTGTGCAGAAATTTGAAGAATATTGCATACCTAAAAAAGTAAACATTTGAAAGGTACATGTTTTATGTCAGAAGACAAAAGGAAGGAGAATTTGAAGAATTTCTAATAGAGCGGAAGCTAATGAGCCAAACTTGCAACTGTGGATTAACAGATTCAGTTATAAGTAAGGTTGCGAGTTTGTCACGGAGGTCACAGATTCTGTGACTTTCCGTGACCTCTGTGACTTCTGCACAGCTGGTGAGCATGGCCCTGCGCCAGTCGCACCAGCCGCTGCTGGGGCAGTCTCAGGCCACCGCCCCTCTACCCCCAGCACCAGAGTCTGGGTGATGGAGGGGGCAGGCGCAGGGGCACGGAACGGGGTGAAGCGAGCTCTGGGTGGCACTTACTTGTGGAGCTCCCTGGAAGCGGTGACATCCCCCTTGCTCAGCTCCTAGGTGGAGGCATGACCAGGCCTGCAGGCACCACCCCCGCAGCTCCCATTGGCTGCAGTTCCTGGCCAATGGGAGCTGCAAAGCTGGCACTCTGGGTGGAGGCAGCATGCAGAGTGGCCTGGCCACGTCTCCGCCTAGTTGCTGAGCGACAGGGATATCACCGCTTCCGGGGAGGCACGGAGCCAGGTAGGGAGCCTGCCAGCTCCACCAGCCCCCCACCCCTCCGAGCACCAGAGGGGGTCCCAGTCCACACCCCCACACACAGCACCCGTGGTGCCCTCAGGCTGCCCCCTCCCACCAGATTTAGTCAGGGGTGTATAGTAGAAGTCGTGGACATGTCACGGGACGTGAATTTTTCTTTACTGCCCGTGACCTGTCCGTGACTTTTACTAAAAATACCCGTGACTAAAACAAAGCCTTAGTTATAAGGGATCAAAGTGTAATTAGAATCATAGATCCAAAGCTGCAAAAAAGGCTATAGGAAGATCTGACTCTCACTTTGGATAAAGCAGTAAGACTGTGTCAGACAGCTGATATTATTCTGAATAAAATAAAAAAATGGAAGGAAAACAGGCCACTGCCACTCTGAATATAGTAACAAGAGAGAGAAAAAACTGGCAAGCAGTCACTCAGTACAGAGCAAAAAAACAGAAGCATGAAAAAAATAAAGCACAAGAATTTGCAAGGGGCAGCTTCAAGGACTGCACAAGATGTGGACACAAACACAGGCCTCAACGATGCCCAGCTTTTGGTAAGCGCTGTAATATTTGTAAGAAATATAATCATTTTACCTACGTCTGCAGTCAGGATCAACAACTGCAGAAGAGGAAGCAAAGCGTGCATGCTGATGCCATAATCCAGGATGAGAGCAAAAACAGCAGCACAGAAGAGTTCTATCTAGAAACTGTATCTGAAGAGGAAGGAACAGATGAATGGATAATTTCTTTAGAGACTAATGGGACTCTAAAGGGCTGGTCCACACTAAGCCCCCAATTCGAACTAAGATACGCAACTTCAGCTACGTGACTAACGTAGCTGAAGTCGAAGTATCTTAGTTCGAACTTAAAGGTACTTACCGCGGGTCCACACGCGGCAGGCAGGCTCCCCCATCGACTCCACCTACTCCTCTCACGGAGCAGGATTACCGGCGTCGACGGCGAGCACTTCCGGGATCGATTTATCGCATCTAGACAAGACGCGAGAAATCGATCCCAGAAGATCGATTGCTTGCCGACGAACCAGCGGGTAAATATAGACGTACCCCAAATAACCTACAAATTGGACACTGGCACTCAGGTAATTGTTTTTTCAGATATTAGCGTTAAAAGGTTAAAGAAAAAAAACAGGGAACATGGCAACTAACAGGTTAAACCGAAAGCTTATAATAGGGAACTCTTTCCTACTAGATGTACATGAGTACTAGAAGTGAAGGTAAAAGATCAAAAAGAATTGATATCCTTTGTAACTGTTAAAAGAAATAAAGCATCTTTAGCGGGTTTAAAGACATGCCAAGCCCTTGGGCTGATCCAAAGAGTGCATATGGTGGAGGAGATAAAGGACAGAGGAACAGTATCTGGATGTTTTTGAGGGCATAGGAAAATTTGCAACTGAATATAGAATTGAACTGCCATAACCAAATTGTCCTATCATACAAGCCCCTAGAAATATTCCTCTAAGTATGAGGAAAAAAATCTCAAAAGACGACCATGATCATTTAGTAACAAACAATGTAATTCAAAGAGCCTACAGAATAGGTGCATTCACTAGCAAATGGGGGGTGGGGGGAAGGGGAAGAATGGAACACTGAGATTATGCCTGGATCCTAAGGAAGCATAATAACTATATCAAAAGAGAACACTTTCAGTTATATATCAGGGAAGACATTTGGGGGGATATGGCTGGTACAAAGTATTTTATTATATTAGATGCATAATCCTGGCAGATTCCCTTAGATGAGAAGAGATCCAAATTATGTACTTTTATTACACCATATGGAAGATATCGCTTTCGCAGATTCCTGTTTTGTCTAAAATCTGCTTCAGAAATCTTTCATAGAACTGTGCAGCAAATATTTGAGGAAACTGAAGGCACAAAAGTCATATAGATGACATTTTCTTCTGGGGCAACACAACAGAGGAACATAATTACAGGTTAGAGAAAACAATGGACAGGGCTAGAGCAATAGGTCTAAAGCTAAGCAAATAAAAATGTAAATTCAGGCTCAGAGAAATAACCTATTTAGGAAAAAAGTTAACTTTATTGATCCTAGCAGAACACAAGCTATAACAAATATGCCACACCCAGAAAAGAAGAAGAAAGTATAGGGATTCACAGGAACTGTTAATTTTGTTGGTAAATTTATACCTAATTTGGCTGCACAAACCAGCAACCTCCATGCACTCACGCAAAAGAACAGTCAATGGACAAGGGACGCTAAACTGGACAAAGAGTTTGGCAACCTGAAACAAATGATTCAGAAATCCCCTGTGCTAAGGTATTTTGACCACAGGAGACTGACCAGCTTGTCCACTGATGTCTCCAAAGAAGGCATAGGGGCAACATGACTACAAAAATATGACTATCATTGGAGACCAGTGGTAAATGCATCCAGGGCTCTTACAGAAGAAGAATGCCACTATGCCCAAACTGAAAAGAAACTTTAGCCCTAATGCATGGTTGTAAAATATTCCATGTGTTCATTTATGGAAGACCAATTGCTGCAGAAACAGACCATAAGCCTCTGATATCAATTGCAAAGAAGGGGTTAGTTGACACTCCTTCCACAGTATGATGACTGTTTTTCCAGCTCCAACTGTATGATTTAACAATTGTATATACACCAGGAAAAAAGTTGGTGGTAGTGAACACATTGTCCAGAACATTTGATAAACTGTAGTAGAAAGAGAGGTGGAGTCAGACATAGTGCATGTCAACCTGATTAAAAGAAATAATTTTCTTGTCTCAGAAAGGAAGCGGAATGAATTTGCTGAGGCTACAGCAAATGATGAGTCTTTACAGAGGTAATTAAAGCTATTTCCACAGGGTGGCCAGGACATTACATACCAAGTCCATATTTCCAGTTCAAAGCAGAACTGTCTGTTACTCTTAGCATATTGTTTACAGGAAACAGAATAGTAGTGCCCAAGATATAAAAAGCTGACAAGCTCACAAGAATACATGAAGGACAGATGGGCATGGAGAAATGTAAATGCAGAGCCAGAGAGATACTTTATCGGCTATAATGAGATATTCATTTGTAAATGAATAAAAAAAATAAAAATGTACTAAACATGTCAAAAATACCAACCTAAACAGAGAAAAAAACCTATGTTGATAAACAATGAACAGTTAAGGGCATAGTCTAAAGTTAGTGTGGATTTATTTACATATGTAGCTAAAGACTATGTTTTGATTTTGGATTATTATTCTGATTAACTAGAGATTGTTATATTAGAAACTAGTACATCAGAATATGTTTTAATGAGCATAAAATCCATATTGTCCGGGCATGGAATCCCTGATAATGGTCAGCACTTTGATGGACGTGAATTTAAAACATTTGCTTGAGGGTATGGGTTTAAGTACATAACTTCAAATCCCAGGTATTCTTAATCCAGTAGTTTTGTAGAGAACAGTGTGAAAGTTGTTAAATGACTTTTGAAAAAGGCCGCTTGGCATGAAGTTGAGAACAAGACTCCCTTCTGGCATAGACATGACAAAGGCAAACTAATCTATGAAAGACTGAAATGCTATGAAAAGTCATTGTGGGAACATGGGAGGAAGTTAAAAAACTATTTCCTCCTTAAGAAAATCCCACCACTTGAAAGAGTTCTTAATGTGATGCAAATGTCTGTATAACAACATAAGTAATGGGCCCATTAAACAAAAGTAGATTAAAATGAAGTGACAGTTCAAATATTGATAGGTTATGGTATTAGATAGGTTTAAAAAAGTGAATGGAACATAATGAAATGTCCAAATGACACTACCAATTGTATTACAATATTTTTAAGAAAGGTCAAGTTTTAAACCTAAAGTGTACTGTGTTCCTTTTTAAAAAAGGAAAAAAATAATTTGAAAACTCTATAATGGAGGGACCAATTGTGGCTCCATGGCTAAGGTTATCTTCTGTAGGGGATTAAAGTGGGACATACATTTTTGTTTTTTCTCTCCTTTCAGTGAGAAATTTCAGTGTTCATTTTTAAGTCCTCTGAATTTTCTATGTAGATTTTGTTTGATTTCTTTTCATAATCTTTTTTTTAAAATAAAGTGTTTGAAACTGATCTGTTGTTGAAATTCATCCATGGCAGTCTGACTTGTTCTTTGTTTTTGTTAACTGATATATTTTCAAAAGAAATTGTCTATCTAAACAAAAATTGGCAGACAGATAAAACTTCGATAGATTTGGTGCAACAAGCAGACTTTTTTAAAAGTAATTTTAAAGATTAAGGGTCATTTTTTGCCATTATGCATCATTTTGGATGCATGTGAGGCATAAAATCTTCGCATCATATACCACCTTCCAACACATCAAACTACCACATCATACATCTTCAAATAATCTCATTGAGAGGAGGTAGTTTGTTAAAGGGTGTGTCAGACACTGGCATTCATGGGGCAGAGGTAAGGTTGTGGTCCATTTTCTGTGGTGTAAAGGAGTTAGGGCAGTGGCAAGGTGTGATAAGACATTTGCCTGTGGGTGAAGGAGCAAAGCTGTCCCATTAGGTGGCTTAACTTTTCATTTCCCTAACTCCCAGTGCTATGCCTTACCAACAACTTCATCCTTTTTCCCTTTTGTAGAGTTAGAGTTTAAAAACAGAAAACTAAAAATAAACAGATTTCAAAAACTTACCATACTTGCATCAACGACCTGCCCTTTGCCAGATTTTGTACGTTCATAGAGGGCCATAATTATACCCATTGCACACATGACACCTCCACCAGCAAAATCAGCCAGAAGATTTACTGGTGCATAAGGATTTTCATCTTTTCTACCAAGTTTCGACAGCACACCTGAAAAACAGTGCAAAAAACACAGACATTTAATCATAAAGTGTATGAACATTAATGTTAGAAAAATGAAAACTAAAGTTTCTTCAATTTATAAACCTTAACCAAGGTAACTATGGAATCCCCTACACGCCAAGAGAATCCTCAGCTAGCGGTTTAAGACAACATTATGGCCCCTTTACACTGCAGCAGTGACAAAAAAAGGGCTGAAACAGAGCCAAGGAGCTGACCATTGTTTTTATTTGGGAGGGGGCTTCTAGATTGCTAGCCCTCTTTGCTCCGCTAAACAGCCCCCTTACCTTCATTTTGCTCTCTAGTTTCCCCCATAACCACTCTCTTCCCCCTTAGGGTGACCAGATGTCCCGATTTTATAGGGACAGTCCCGATTTTTGGATCTTTTTCTTATATAGGTTCCTTTTACCCCCCACCCCTGTCCCGATTTTTCACACTTGCTGTCTGGTCACCCTATTCCCCCTCCTCCTGCCAATGGGGCAATGTGGAGTTTATCAGCCTTGCAGCAGAGCCACATTCCTCCTAAGCAGCATACAAATTCAATGCATCCTAAAACACTGCCTGGCACTGATGTATTGTTTAGGTAACTCACACACCAATGTGTGTTTTCTAAAATGCACACAAGCTGACACATGGTGTTAAGAACTCCACTGAGCTTAGGATGCACGCAGAAAGCTTTTCAATAACTAAAATCTGCCATTCAACAGTCCAACTGGTGTCATAAGCACCAGTAGGTGAACATATTAAATCTAATTTGGACTTTCCAGGACAAGTCATTTTTGGGCTACAGCAAACCAAAAACCATAAGGAAAATTATCAAGACATGAGATCACCTCATTTTCTGAGCAGTCACACCTCCCAAATGCCTTGTCTAATTTGCCTTAAACTTGGCAGAAATAATCTATCTGGCATGCCTGTGACATTTCAGGCAGATTGGTTTTATTTTAGAAAATAGACAGTTTGCCAAAAACTAGGATTATCATTTACTTTGGGATGTTCTGGCAAAAGCAGTTTGAGAAATACTAAGGATCACATAAGAAGCGTACTGCTAGATCTGTAAACATTCCATATACTTGTCTGATATTTTTGCCAACAAACTCTGATAAAACTTGATCTGTGGAAAAAAGAGTTAATTGGTGCAAAAACATAGTTTACATTTTCTAATTCAAAGGACCCCCCAAAAAGTGTGTAAAAATACAGGTGTTGCTAGCTGAGGTTTTCTTCTTGCAAAAGGCTGTCCAAGTTACAGTAATAGCTGCCAAGAACCACACAAAATGGTACTGATTAAACTGGATTTAGGAAGAAGAAAATTATTTTAGCAGGCAGTGTGGACTTTGTTCCACGGTCCAGCAATCCTGAAGTCAATAACATCACTTTGTTAGCTACTTTCCTCTGGGCTGGCATTCAACATAAGGATATATACAGCACTCAGGCAAGACAGAGCTCACAAAGGGCCTGAATCCTGCAGCTTTCACTTACTTCAATAATCCAGTCTCACACAAGTAAACCTATTGATTTGTAGTTTCATGGGACTAACCATGCAACGATTGCCCAGGTGAGTAAAGGTTGTGGGATTAGGCTCAAAATGAAAAGATAAAACTAAAGACTATCATGAAAATTATATTTACCTTTAAAAAAAGAAAAAAACTTTATCTAGGTTTTTCTTCTTTTATACTCTTTTACTAAAAGAAGACAACACTCAGGTAATTTAAACCATGTACACAAAGTACCTGCTAATACAATTCTTAATTAAAGCAAAAATAAAGTTAATCTAATAGGAATGTTAACAGTTTACCTGACAAAGCCAAATAATTGATGTCATGACCTGCAGACTTTGCATATCTTCCTGACTGGCCAAATCCAGTAAGTCTAGCATAGATAAGTTTTGGATTTTCCTGTAGAAGGACCTTTGGACCAAGACCAAGTTTTTCCATGACACCTTAACAGTAAAATAAAATGTTTAATCCCAATCCAAACTTTTGCTTTTAATCTAGATTCAAAACAAACTTGATTTGAAATAAAAAAAACTGTAAAATGTATTAGTCATTATGAACTTGAATTACAGCTAACATGCTGATTAAGTTAAAAAAAAGCCTCACGTACAATAGCCATATTAAAACATGAACTGCTAATATTTTACAAATTAATAATGTACTAAATGTATTTTATATGTTGAATGCACCAAACGTAAATTTAGTGTAAAAGTAGTTTAAATGCACTTTGTTTCTCCCCAATTTCAGACCCCTCATGACCATTCCGACCAACTTCCGCGGCTGTGGACCCCTGAACATACTGTGGCATTTAATTTCAGAAAGGGGAGCTATGCAAAAATGAGGAGGTTAATTAAACAGAAATTAAAAGGTACAGTGACTAGAGTGAAATCCTTGCAAGCTGCATGGACACTTTTCAAAGACACCATAATAGAGGCCCAACTTAAATGTAGACCCCAAATTAAAAAACACAGTAAAAGAACTAAAAAAGAGCCACTGTGGCTTAACAACCATGTAAAAGAAGCAGTGAGAGATAAAAAGGTATATTTTAAAAAATGGAAATCAGATCCTAGTGAGGTAAATAGAAAGGAGCATAAACACTGCCAAATTAAGTGTAAAAATGTAAGAAAAGCCAAAAAGGAGTTTGAAGAACAGCTAGCCAAAAACTCAAAAAGTAATAACAAAATGTTTTTTAAGTACATCAGAAGCAGGAAGCAGTGGGGCCCCTGGACGATCGAGATACAAAAGGAGCACTTAAAGATGATAAAGTCATTGCAGAGAAACTAGATGAATTCTTTGCTTCAGTCTTCATGGCTGAGGATGTTAGGGAGACTCCCAAACCTGAGCCGTCCTTTGTAGGTGACAAATCTGAGGAACTGTCACAGATTGAAGTGTCATTAGAGGAGGTTTGGAATTAACTGATAAACTTTACAGTAACAAGTCACCAGGACCATATGGCATTCACCCAAGGGTTCTGAAAGAACTCAAATGTGAAATTGCGGAACTATTAATTCTGGTTTGTAACCTGTCCTTTAAATCGGCTTCTGTACCTATCTGACTGGAAGATAGCTAATGTAACGCCAATATTTAAAAAGGGCTCTAGAGGTGATCCTGGCAATTACAGATCGGTAAATCTAACATCAATACCGGGCAAATTAGTTGAAACAATAGTAAAGAATAAAATTGTCAGACACATAGAAGAACATAACTTGCTGGGCAAAAGTCAACATGGTTTCTGTAAAGGGAAAGCATGTCTTACTAATCTATTAGAGTTCTTTGAAGGGGTCAACAAACATGTGGACAAGGGATATCCTGTGGACATAGTGTACTTACCATATATACCCGTTCATAAGCTGAATTTTTTTAGTAAAAAAGGGAAGAACCAGAGAAGGGGGTCGGCTTATGAACGGGTATAGAGAGGGAGAGGTGGGACGCAGCCCCTCCCCCCAACAGAGGGAACAAGGAGAGGCAGCACAGCCAGCAGAGCCAGAAGGGAAGAGGCGGGGCCAGAGTCTCTCAGCTTCTCCCCCCAGCCTCCAAAGCAGCTGCAACTCCAGGGCTGGCAGGCTGCAGCCGTGCTGCTCGGCCCTGCCCCCCAGAGCAGGCTGTGGCCACGCCGCTCAGCCCGCCGGAGCACTCTGCGGCCGTGCTGCCCGGCCCAGCCCGCTGGAACATGCTGTGGCCGTGCCGCCGGGTCTGGCCTGCCAGAGCAGGCTGCACCCGCACTGCCCAGCCTGCCGGAGCAGCTCCAGCCAGGTCACAGACATCCTCCCCTGGCCCTCCCCAGATAAGGTGGGAAGGGATGGCATGGAGTGATGTGGGGGGT